GTTGCGTCTGCAGCATGCCTTTGGATGTCGAGATCGAGGCGTCAGGGCTCTGCCGCTCCCTTGCCCCGAAGTCGCCACGTCAGGCCTTCATTATGGTGAACCGTCCTTTGGCATTCATGACGGGACGCGACGACTATACACGTGCGTGGGTGGGTTGTCATCCACTCTCGAGAGGCGAAGGGGCGCTGGTTCTGGTGGGATATCTTCTTTAAATAGCGAGCATCCGACTTTGTTCCCATCTCTCGCTGCCGAGTTTTCTTCTTCGGGTCTCACCGTCCTCTTTCCAGTCGTCCTCCTGGCCTCCTGCGTCGCCTTATTTTCCCCAGTAGCCCCTTCTCATTAAGGTCAGTGAGGATGACGTCCTCTTCTTCCTCCCCTTCTTCTTCTTCCCATGGAGCTAGGGAGAGATGTCATCCACCGTCCCCCATTCAATCCTCCGATGGGGAAGCGGCGCGGGCCCTCGAGGCCTTGATGTGGCCGCATGACCTGGACTCCACCGTGAGCGGGTCATTGCTAAGGGGACTCCGGGAACGCTATAATATCCCGGAGGACTATATCCTCAGCGCCCCCGAACCGGGACAGCGGGCCTACGACCCGGTTCCGAAGGGTTTCGCGTTAACCCTAAACGCCCTGGAGGCGGGTCTGCGGTTTCCCCTTCACCCCCTCATTGTCTCCTGCATCTCTCTCTGGCGGATCTCGCCATCCCAGGTGGCGCCGAACTCTTGGCGCTACCTAGTGGCGTTCCTAGGGGAATGCCACTATGCCAACATCACTCCCACACTCAATCTGTTCCTGTCCTGTTACCGTCTTTCCAAAGGGTTGGGGGGTTACTTCCTGTCTGCCCGAGCAGGCTTTCGAGTCGGGGGGGCCCCTTCCAACAACAAAGGATGGAAGGGGAGGTTTTTCTACGTTAGTTGTGCAAGGGACTGGGGTTTTAGGGTCCGGTGGTCCGCAAGGGTGATCAATAACACTGTCCCGAGCCTGAGCGACGAAGAACGCCGGGATCTGGGGAGGCTTAGGGAGGTTCTCCCCGGCTCCCAGGCCATCCGAAACATGACAGAGCGGTGACTGGCCGAGGCTGGTCTCAGTCCGACGCCTCGGGGTATGTTAGTAGCACCCGGTCCGGGTATTCCGTGACGCTCCCCTGGTTCTCACCTTTGTCTTACTTTTGCAGAAATGGTGAACCTCCAATCACTTCTGGGAGGTCGGGCGTCGCCCGCTTCTTCTCCACGTCCATCAGCCGACCCGAAGCCCGGCTCGAAGGATGCCCCATTGGAGGTCGAGGCCAGGCGTCCTCGGAAGAAGGCCAAGGCCTCTACCTCTAGGGGTGTTGAGGCGGGTCCTCGTCGAGGCGCGACTGGACCCAATCGGGAGGCGACAGGGAAGGACTCGCACCCTCCCTCCGTGCGTGACCTGTGCCGACTATCCGCGGGGGACGAGGAGCCGTTTCTGACGCGGTTGGTGGGCGAGATCCCGACCGGGGAGGCAAGCGACCCCCTGGTCGCCCGCTGGGGGAGCTTGTGCCGGGGGGACAAGGTATGGGCCGGAGGGGAATCCTCCACGGCATTCCTCCGGGGCGCTCTTCATCCCGACATGGCTCGGGACATATACATGCTGCCCTCGGAGGCTTTGCTTGCCAAGTCCCTGAAATTGGTAAGTGTTGCGCCCGCTATTTCTAACTATGCATTCGACTGTGTTTCTCCTGACCTGTCCTCCTCGTTGCAGGGCCTTCACTACGCGACGGCCTTGATGGATCGGGTGCGTGATGCGACTGGCCGGATCATCGGGAGCCTAATCGGTCGCAATGCCGAACTGCACCGCTAGGTGGAGGAGGTCCGTGCCGGGGCAGGCCCGGAAGCCATGGCGGCCGCCGAGAAGCGAGCGGCAGATTCGGAGGTGGAGGTGGCTCACCTCAAGTTGGAGCTCCAGGCCTCCGAAACTTCGAATAAGGAGCTCTAGAAAACCATAAGGGTAGAGCGGACCGAGCTCTGTCTGTTGAAGACGGAGGCGAGCACCCTCAGCAAGAAATTGGAGGAGGCGAAGGCAGAGGCGAGGGCGACTTCTGAAGCGCTTACCGAGGAGGCTCGCCTTCGACTCGACAAGGACAAAGAGCCGATCGCGACGTACAAGAAGTCCGAGGGGTTCGAACTCGGGCTGACGCGGACGGGGCGGGTTTCCCTCAAATACGGATATCGGATCGCCACGTCCCGCTTCCATGCGCGCCACCCAGGCCTCGAGGTGGAGGAGGATCCCTTCACTCCCCACCCGGAAGATCTTGAGGTGGACATGCCCGAGGACGTCCCTTTCGACGACCAACTGGACATCCAAAAGGAATAAAAGGGTCCTATAATTTTCGTAGATTTTTCGAAAGGTGTGTCGGTCGGTTTGTAAGTCGGGGTCGAGTCCTGTAGTGTTAATTTTTCTCAAATAAAAAGAATATTTTCTTATATTGCCAGTCTTCTGCTCTCTCACACGAAGAATTTTTTAAGGTTTTGGACGTTCCATGTCCTTGGTAAAGGATAGCCATCCATCGTGGTGAGCCGGTACGTGCCCAGTCGAACGATCTCGACGACCCGATAGGGTCCTTCCCATTTGGCGACGAGTTTACCATGTGCTCGGGTCGGGTTACTTACCTCAGCCTTGCGCAGCACTAGATCATCCAGCCTAATAGGTCGGGGACGTACCCTCCTGTTGTAAATCCGGGCAACGACTCTTTTGTATGAGAGGGCCTTCAGGTGCGCGTTGGCTTGCCTCTCCTCGAGCATGTCCAATCTGGCTTGGAGTCCCTCAGCCGATGTCCCTTCGTCATAGGACTCCGTTCGGGGGGTGGTAATCTCCACTTCGGCGGGCAAGACGGCATCGGCACCGAATGCTAGGCTGTACGGGGATTCCCCGTTTGCGGTTTTAGGCGTGGTCCGTAAGGACCATAAGACGCTCAAGAGTTCATCGACCCAAGTCGAACGGGCCGCGAGAGTCCTTCTCCGGAGTCCGCCCAGAATGGCTCGGTTGGTTACCTCGGCCAGCCCGTTCGTTTGAGGGTGTGCGACCGAGCTGAACCTCAGCTGTATCCCGTAATTTGTGCAGAATTCTTTGAACCGAGCATTGGCGAACTGCGTCCCATTGTCCGTGATGATGACCCTGGGCAGACCGAACCGAGTGACGATGTTCTTCCACACGAATCCCTCCACCTGACGCTCCGTGATTGCCGCCAATGGTTCGACCTCGACCCATTTGGTGAAGTTGTCTATCCCAACAATAATATATCTTCGCTGCCTCGAAGCTAGGGGGAAGGGGCCGAGAAGGTTCATTCCCCACTGCGCGAATGGTCACGCGCAGTCCACGGACGTAAGTGGCACCGTCGGTTGCCGCGGCGTGGGCGCGTGCCTCTGGCATGCGTCGCACTTTTGCACGTACAATTTTGCATCTTGGCACATAGTGGGCCAGTAGTAACCCTGACAGAGCGCCTTAAACGCTAGGGTGGACCCACCTATATGTTCACCGCAAATTCCGCCGTGGACCTTGGCGAGAACCGACCGAGCCTCTTCGGGCTCGAGGCAGCGTAGGAGGGGGCGTGAGTACGACCTCCTATATAACCACCCACCGATCTCACAGTAGCGGGCATGGGTTCGGCGCAGGCGCCGAGCCGCGGTTTCGTCTTCGGGGAGCATCTCATGGCGCTTGAATTGTAACACCTCCTGCACTCATGTCGTTGGTGGGTCAGCGGTGGTCACTGTTGCGACCGTGATGGCGCGGGTGGGGAGCTCCTCCACGTCGGGCTTGCCCAAAGGATTTAATCTCGAGGCCAGCTTCGCCAGGGTGTCCGCCCGTTCATTCTGGCGCTTGGGCACCCTGGACAATACGAAACGGGAAAAATGGGCGGCGAGAGCTCTTACCTCCACCAGATACTTTGACATGGTCGGGTCCCGGGCCTCATACCTGCCGTCGAGCTGCTCGGCAACTAGTTGCGAGTCGGTGAGGATGTGTTTGTCGTCCACCTGCATTTCGACGACTAGTCTAAGCCCCGCCAGTAGCGCTTCGTACTCCGCCTCGTTGTTGGTGGCCTTGAATCCGTAGCGAAGGGAGCGCTCAAACGAGCGCCCATCGGGGACCTCCAATACTAGCCCGACCCCCGCACCCTTTCGGCCGGACGATCCGTCCACACGGAGGAGCCACTCCCTTTTCACACGCTCTAGCTCCTCGCCCTTGGGCCGAGTCAATTCCGAGATAAAGTCAGCTACCGCATGTGCTTTGATGGCGGTCCTCGGGACGTACTGAATATCGAACTCTTCAAGTTCTACTAACCACTTGAGGAGGCGACCTGCTAGGTCAAATTTAGACCACTTGCCAGAGCGGCTGATCGGTGATTACCTCGATCGGATGAGCTTGGAAGTAGGGGCGCAGCTTCCGGGCAGTCAGCACGAGCGCTAGTGCCAACTTCTCAATAGGGGGGTATCGCTCCTCGGGTCCATTGAGGACATGGCTAGTGTAGTAAACCGGTTGTTGTCCTCCAGGGGCCTCCTTGATCAAGACCGAACTTACTGCATTTTGAGAGGCGGCCAGGTAAATACCGAGCTTTTCCTGAGGGGACACCGAAGCGAGGCGAGGGAGGGAGGCCAGGTGCTCCTTTATGTGGGCGAAAGCCTCCCCACACTCCGCCGTCCACGCGAATTCCTGGGGATTCTTCAGGGCCCGGAAGAAGGGTAGGCACCGGTCGCCCGATCGAGATAAGAACCTTGACAGGGCGGCGAGCCTCCCGTTCAGGCGCTGCAACTCCTTAATTGCCCGAGGGGCCTGCATGTCGATGATTGCCCATACCTTGTCGGGGTTTACGTTGATTCCCCTTTCGTGTATGATGAACCCGAGGAATTTGCCCGAGTTGATGCCGAAGGCGCACTTGGCGGGGTTGAGTCGAATGTTATACCTTCGTAGCGTGTCGAATGTCTCGGCCAAGTCGGGCAAGTGAGTTGCAGTTGTGCGACTCTTCACAATCATATCGTCGATGTAGACCTCCATGTTTCTCCCGATCTGGTGAGCAAACATTTTATTCACGGTCCTTTGATACGTAGCCCCGGCGTTTTTCAACCCGAACGGCATAACTTTGTAGAAGTAGACTCCTTGGTCGGTGAGGAACGCGGTATGCTGCTGATCCTCGAGCGCCATCCTGATCTGGTTGTAGCCAGAGAAGGCGTCCATGAACGAAAGGCGGGCATGACCGGCCATCGCGTCGACCAACTGGTCGATTCGCGGGAGGGGGTAGCAGTCCTTCGGACAGGCGCGATTAAGATCGGTGTAGTCAACGCATATTCTCCAACTTCCATTGGGTTTCTTCACGAGGACTACATTGGATAACCAGTGTGGGTACTTGGCTTCTTCAATGAAGCCTACCGCCAGGAGCCGTTCTACCTCTCCTCGAACGACCTGCTGGCGTTCGGGAGCTAGACGTCGGGGCCTCTGCTTTACTGGCCGCGCGTCGGGGGAGATACACAGGTGGTGTTGAGATACCTCAAGGTCAACGCCTGCCATGTCAGTGGGTGACCAGGCGAAGACATCGACGTTCTCTTGGAGGAGATTGATGAGCCGGGCACGCTCATGCTCAAGAAGCTCCGACCCGACCTTGACAGTTTGATCCGGACGCCCGTCTTGTAGGGGCACATCCACGGTAGGTCCCGTTGGCTCGGGGTGTCGGGATGACCTTTTTATTTCCCGGGGGTCTTTGAGCGGGAGCTCAGCCCTCCTCCTCTTGTGTAGGGAGATCGTGGTCAAGTAGCATCGCCTTGACTCGCGGGGGTTTCCCTTGGCCTCTCCGACCCCTGCACGGGTTGGGAACTTCACGGTACGGTGGTAGGTAGAGATAACCGCTCTGAGCTTGTTGAGAGTGGGGCGTCCCAGAATTGCATTATATGCGGTAGGAAGGTCAACTACCAAGAAGGTTATCATCACCGTCTTCGTCCTCGGTGCTTCCCCGAGGGTTAAGGGCAGGACGGTCGTGCCCAATGGCAAAATTGATTTGTAGGTGAATCCGGTGAGCGCTGAGCTCATAGTCACCAGGGCGTCGTGGGAGAGCCCGAGCTTCTGGAATGCGTCCAAATAAAGGATGTCGGCCGAGCTCCCAGTGTCAACCATGACCCTTTTCACTTGGGCGTTGGCGATTATGGCAGCCACCACCAACGCGTCATCGTGTTTGGGCGGTTCGGCTCTCTCAGCTGGAAATGTGACCTCGGGCGCGGGTCCGTGCCCGGGGTCCTCGGCCGTTGGGGTGTGGGTGTATGCTTTCTGCCCAGTCATAATTTTTCCCCCATACGCTGGGCCGCCCGTGATCACATCAATCTGCCTTTCGACGGGGCCCTCGGGCCGCAGGGAAAGCTCTTTATTTTGCCATAGGTAGTGGCTGAGATGCCCCCTTCGAATCAGCTCCTCGATCTGTCGCTTCAGCTCACGGCACTCTTCCGTATCATGCCTGTTTTGTCGATGGAAGTGGCAATATCTTGTTTTGTCCGCGAGCTCCCGGGGGTTCTTCATCGGGGTGGGGGTTCGGAGCAGCCCCTTCCCCTCTATCTGAAGGAATATCTGCGTTCGGGATATTTCCAAAGCGGGGGAGGGCGACCTTAGTGTGGTCGGGTTGGATCGGTCCGATCTGCGTCTCGACGGACCGGATAGTTGCCTAGTCGGTGGTTTCGCCCGAGGCCTTTTATGCTCCTCGTGTCTCCCGGACATCCAGGCTTCTGCCGCGACATAGTGATTGGCTCGCTGGAGCATTTCCGAGACAGCGGTGGGGGGTCGTTCCACAAGGGACCAAAAGAACCTAGAGGGACGGAGACCCGCCATGAATGCCTACATCAATAAAGAGGGGTGAGCACCTGATAAACCCCAGATTTCAGCGGCGAATCGGTTCACAAAATGAGAGAGAGGTTCGTCCTCCTTTTGGTTCAGCCCAAGGAGCAGGGCGATGGATGGCTTTGGTCGAGCCAAAGCCAAGAAGTTGAGCTTGAACTCCTCGGCGAGCTGGTCGAAGGAGGTGATTCCCCCGGTCTTCAAACCGCTATACCAAGCACGGGCCGAGCCTCTCAGGGTCGTGGGAAACGTGCTAGTCATAGGTGCCCAGCAAGCCAATCACGTGAGTGATGGCACGTGTGACTTGATACATAATCTTTTTGCTTATTATATTTTGGCGTATATCACTTTATAACAATTGCATATGTGCATATATATATTGTGATGTCCTTGTATTTGTGCAATGGGAATCGGATCGTGATGAGATCACGATAATGAGATCGATTCACCTTTAAACACATATCCTAAATAATCCCGGTCATAGGTTACTCGAG